TGGAAGAAAAAGTCAAAAATAATCGAAAAAGCTAATGGGATTAGTTTTACAATAAAATTATTTTTGATTATTTATAATTATGTAAATTATTTTAAACAAAATGTATTGCTCGGACGGAAAAAATCTTTTGTCGATAAACCTATGTATGTAGCTGTGAAATACGGTGTTACGTTGTTCTTTCAAATGACCATGGATAACTGGGATGTTACTTTAAGCATGTCATACCGTCAGAAGTATGTTTCTTTACAATGAAATCGAACAAATAATCAGATGTAATTAAAAAATCTAAAAATAATCAAAAATAATCACCAAATTTAATCAACTACTTTTTTTGATTATTATTGATTATTTTTTTTAATGACAAGTAATCACGATTTTTTTTTCGATTAATTCTAATTATAATTGATTACTAATTCCTCGGTTAAAAACGCTAATTGAATTATTCATTGCGACTACCGAACCTATGTAATCGTTTTCATTAGTAATCGTAATCCAAAGTTAACAGGTCTGCTTATAAGTTACAAAATTACGTATCGGAAAATCTCCTGCTTTGAAACTAAAACGTAGCTAAAATTCTTTTTATTCTTCAATTAACATTGATCAATTTGAGTAATTCGATACGTTGCTATAACTTAATAAGAATTGATAAATTTCGATAACTATAAACTTCGATGATTTGATAAATTTCAGCAACTTTATAGCTTTAAGTTTTGTGACTAGAATTACATATTTCGATTCCTAACGTAAAATTTCAATCAATTTTTCTACCCTTTCAGTTACCTTAATTTTTATCTATTTCTCTTTGTTTTCATTTATGTTTTTATCTTAAATTTTTCCGTCTTTTGTGTCTTAGTTTTTATAATTTATTTCTTCATCATCATATTTATCTTTATTAAAAAGTTTAATTTCAAATAGAAAGTAAATCAAATCGCGAAACAAACTCAAATTGAACAGGCTGCAACCACTACAACTATATACAAATACGGAAATTTGAAAACGACGATTTTGGCCGCAATTTTCAGCAAATTTTGAAAGGATAAAAACTTTCCTCATCTACAGAGAAATATCTTTCTTAGCTTTGAAATCAGTTCGGTAGAATCACCAAACGAACGGTGCTTGTACTAAAAAAACTCCGAGACAAGTAAACTTAATTCAGGGTTCCGTTTTTCCATATCAGAACATTTTCCAAAGATAATTCTATGAAGAAAAAACTAATTTTAACAAGTAAAAAATTAAAAAATAACACCTTTTTGTATTTTTTTCTATTTATGTTAAAGCCTGATCCGTTGCCAAAAAATTAAGCTACAAGCGATGAAAATCGGCGAATAAATACACCACTTTTGATGGTCAAACGCAAATGTCTAATAATTTTTTGTTTGAAATAGAAGCAGGAAATAATGTTACTCATATGCAATATCGTACATATCCGTACTCGTACATGGCGTATGACCAACATTTTCCATACTAAAATTTTATTTTTTTTTTCATTCGCAATGCAAACTTAAAACGAAACTATCTTTATAAAATTACCTGATCAAGAGAAACAGTATACAGATCCATAATGTATGACTAAAAAAATTTAGTTTACGTTTCTCGGCGTTTTGTTGTGTCATTTGATCGCATCTCCAAACTTTTAGTTAATGGTGTTAACTTGGCTAATGAAATATGAAGTGCATGTACACATGTATGATATTACCAAAAGGTATTTTTTTTTAATTTTTCTAATACATTCCTTACTGTAAATGATTACCTCTTATTCTTTATCTTTTTCTGTTTATTATTTACTTTTGTTTGAGTTATTGATTTTCGTTTGCTGTTAAATTATACATATGTACATAAGTACATAAAAAAGGGATTGACAAATTCGTTGGTAAATCGTGGATAATTTTCGTGTTCATTTGCAATACTTAGTTACTTGAGGGACGTCAAACACTATGTCAATAAGCCGATTATATGCACATATGTATGTATGAATGTGTAACTCGAAGTGAACTCAAATGGCTTGTCGAGCAAACCTTTTATTTCATAGCACAAAAATGAAGACTAAAGACGATGTCAAAACGGCAAGGGTCCGATTAGACGAAAAACATGACTGACTAAAAATTCCTGAAGTGGACCCCTCGATTTTCACAAAGTAATGAATATTGAAATAAATATTTGAATTTCTCAGCTTGAGTATCCACTAATATTTCGCCAGTATTCGATTTTTTAATATAATTTCTTTTTTTTTAATTTAATATTTATGGACCTTATTTTCTCAATGAGAACTGCGACCAAAGTTGTCATGCGATTTTCATGAAACCTTACGAGTACGTAAAAAACTAGTTTTCAAACTTTTTTATAAATGTTCTTTTCTCTAATAGAATTTTTATGGCGTTTAATTGTCAAAATGTTCCTTGCAATATTTTTTGCTAATATGCTAAAAAAAATTTTGAGTAACCATGTGGCTCTGTTGGGGAACTAAGTAAGGTAGGTAGTTTTGGTGAAATACTTAATCATCGTAGTGGCGTATGTAACGTATACGGCCCGTTGCACCATACACGGCTATGTAACACGTTTACTCGCACGCTCATGACGTTTATACTTTTCGTAAATTGCTCAAGCAGCACTGCCATCTCAACAAATTATTGTTTTGAAAATTTTAATATTTTTTTTTTTTAATGAAATTTAGATATTAGGATGTTGCTTTGATCAGATCCGCTTTAGTGGAAATATGAACAATGGAATGGTTAAAAAGTAGCTTACCGTCAACGAAAGCATTATTTATGATAACGCATGATGTAGTCATGAAGAGGGAGTTAAAAAATCCTTATTCTTAGAGGTCCTTGTTATGATTTATAGACAGATAAACTACTAGCTCAACTGCTGTTGGTTCCACGTTTTGCTTAGATTGGACACATCCGTCCCGAGGCTTACAATTTTATGCCGAAAAGTGGTTGTTACAAACAAACAACACCTCGGTGAAGTTACTATGCACGTGGCCATCCCGAAATATGCAGCTAATCGTACTAAGTAATAATGAAAATAATTGGCTAAACAAATAGATTCTCTATGTGCATTACACAATGTAATACGAGTAATTTACTTGCCTTCCGTTTTATATTTAGTTCAAGCTAAACGCTTCTTAACACTCTTTCATTTGACACCAATATTTCATATAACCTCTGTAATAGTTGACTAAGTTCAACTTTTAAAAACATGTGGCAAGCCCTCTTAAAATATTTTAAAATTAAATCCTTCTTAAATTCTTTCGTTGGACACCCATATTGTGACGCATGCCCAGTGGGAAAATGTGATGTATAGTAATCGAAAAAATAATCAGTAAAACAGCCCTTTTCATTCGAGAATGCATTTTTCCCCCAGGGCGATGTCCAAAGAAAAATGAGGCATTAAATTTTGCATTATCTAGTATCGAGAAATTAATGTGATTTAATATGAAATTTTTGCGAATTTTTGAATACATTAGAATGCTGATTACATATTAAACAGTAATTGGATCTAAAACTCATAAGAAATACATTCGATTACTTATCACGCATGGATTGCATTACTGCTTTTCCCCTGGGTGCATATGTATGTATTTCAATTATGCAATTGCCTTAATTCAAGTTGAATTTGATTTTTAAACATATCCATTTCAGAAATAAAGCATTTTCAAACCCATTTCGATTGATACCCATCCTTTAGTAATAAAATATAAAAAAAGGTTTTCTCTTAACAGCGGTCCTCCCTCGGCACGCAATGTCAAGCCTCGGAGTGTATTTCTGCCATGAAAAATAGCAAAATTATTTTCAACTAAAACTTCTTCGTCTGGCATTGCGATACACATTTCAATTAACTGATGTATTAAGTTGAACTTTATTTTTTAAGCATGTGGCTACCCCGATGAATATAGTCCAAGAAAAAAGATTTTTCAAACACCATTGGATTGATGTCCATATTTTAAAAATTTATTTAACTTATTCGATAGCTTAAATTTAATTTTTAAACAGGTGGAAACCCTCTTCCAATATCTCCAAAATAGTCTTTGTGTTCAAACTAAAGATTTCTTAACATTATTTCGTTGCATTCGTATTTTTATGTTTTATATAACTTGTGTATGAGTTAACTAAGTTCGACCTATCAAGCAGGTGGCAACCCTCTTCAAAATTTTTTCAAACTACTACCTTCTGAACCCCCTTTCGTTTGGCACCCATATGTTGCAGGAAACTTCTCCTAACTAATTCCCTTAATTCAAATTGAATTTGATATCCATTTTGTAATGATTGATTAATTTATTTTTTAATAATTTGAATATAATTTTTTAGAAGGTGGGCACTTTTTTTTAAGTTAAACCTTAGTGCACATCTACAGGCCAAGCGCTTTAATTTGACACCATTGTGAAGTTGCCACCAACTGTATCACACAGATTAGGATAATTCACCATCGAACCGGATCATTGTTGCCGCAAGAATTTCTTCGCGGGCATAACGCTTTCGTTAGGTTATCTAAGACGGCAATGAAAGTGAATGCCTTTTGACGACCACAAAACCGAACGTGAACGTGAATTGTTGGTGAAAACGTTGGGCCAAATATTTCAATACAATAAATTAATTTTTTTGGCGGCACAGAGTTCGCCGGGTCTGCTAGTATATATAAATTTATATACAAGAGATTATACTTACTCGTATCAAAGGAGACCTTTTTAGTGACAAAGATTCCATATGGAATATGTATACAAGTACAGGGCCTGTTCGAGGCACGCAATAAAAGCGGCATTACTGCTATACTGATGAAAATTTGCAACACTGTTAGGACCAACATTTATATGTGATATCTTCGATGTAGGAGTTGAGGCTTAGGAAATCTGATGTAAAAATTTGCGTCCAACATTTAAGGACCACCCTAATGTACTTACAAAGAGAAATTTTATTTTTATATTTCAACAATATGTACATAATTTGTACGCCCATAAATACTTTTTCACACATACATAGATATGTATGCATTATCACATTAACTATTTTGAAAAATATACTTTATTGTGTAGAGGTACATAAGTATTTATTATGTAAGTTTATTTAAAGCTTTTATCAATCATTAAATAATCGTGCATTAACACTTGTAAACAGTTAGGCATATGCATGTGTGGCTTTGTGTGCATATACATATGTACATAGTGCTTCTGTTCCTGCGCATGCAATACCTTCGTGCTATCGCAATATATTTTACATAGTACTTAAATATGAAAAAATTTAAGATTCATTGATTAACTACTGGTTTTATAAAAAATGTAAGCGAAAACAAAAGAATAATGCTGGCGAGTGTTTGAAGGTCAACCGCTGCTTTCTGCCTGCTTCACAATCCATTAGAATCCGCCGCCATTGTAGGTGCCCAGGAATTTATTGCAATTACCGCAATAATGGTTCGTACTCATGCAACTCTCTGCACAGTAGGGCAAACAGACGCAGCACCATAAGCTGAAATCGATTGAACAAAAGTTAAGTTAAATTAGATGGAAATGTATAAATTTATTTATCTTTATTTTTCTTATCTCTGTAATGTGTGTGTATGCAATCGTGTGTAAAACGTTTTCAATTACGTAAATGAAATGTGAATCTTTGTTTGCTAGTTGTTTGTGTGTGTATGGTTGTAGGTATGCGTTTTGTCGTAATGCGCAAATTTATCAAACTCATAAGGAAGTAAGTAAGTAAGTAAGTCGCCTGCTAAGTGTTTTTTTTTAATAATTTTGTATAAATTTATATTCTTAAAATCATACATAGTATGCACGTACAGTATCAGTAGTACTGATTCAGTACAGTAGCTCCCCCATTTCAAAATGAATGGCACTAAAACAAAATTCTTACACTTCTGAAAAAAGAGTTTTAAATTTGGATGAAAATTTGTTGCATTTTTTTTGTAGTATTTTCTTCTTCACGCAAATATCACCTGTTGGCAAGAGTTATTCTTCGCTTGATCTTCAGACTGACATTTGTAGTCTTTTACAAAGTTTTAAACTTGGGTTTATATGGGTTTTGTTAGAAAATAAACAGTATTTTAATTGAAAATTTTTAAAATTAAATAATTAAATTTATTATTATTTTAATTTTGAAGCCGAACTTGAAAGAAGTAGATGACCATCGGTGTCAGCTTATGGAAGCTCTTACTATACAAAACACATATATCACCTTTTTGTTAGGCTTGAATTTATTGTGATTTTCTTCTTCCTACTACAAAACAAATCTCAATCATTGCGGCCAAAAATTTAAAAACTTACCAAGTTTAGTTTGGCCTAAAAAAAAATTATGTTCGTTTTTGGGTATATAACAACCATTGCATAAACACAGTTGCACCAACACGAAATTTGATCCATTAGTGGAACCCATTCAAACAAGGTTTAAAGTATTGTTTGTGCATAGCAATTATCTCTAAAATTTGCTGTATTAAGCTCGGAACACTTTGACGACAGCAAGCGACAAGCAGCATCTGTCAAATTTTAAATACACACGTTCTTACGGACACAATTATTTTGACGACAGCACGACATCTTGGCTGCAGGACTGCAATTGTCGACGTCGCCAAATTAAATCTATTTCTAATTTTGCCGGCGACAATGAGTAGATGTAGTGCTGCAAAATTAAATTGTCGCAAAATTAATCACATATTCTTGATTGTTCATGTTTTTCTTATTTACTTAAATAAAAATACACAATTTGTGAAATAAATATTCCAAAATGTCAAACTTTAAAATCAGTTGTTTGCTATGTCGCTGAGGTCTTCAAAATGTTTAAGAAGCTGGCTTCAAGGCGACATTTGTCGACAAAATGATGTCGCTGTCGTTACGTCGTGAAGTTGCAGTCGTCAAAGTGTTCCGAGCTTTAATGTCGATTGATCGAAAAATATATGTATATTTGTCGCTCACATTTTTGTTAAATGCCCAGCCGAGCTGTTTGTTGTTGTTGTTGCACAAATAGAAGGGCCTACAGTTTTATATCTTTGCCGAATTGTTTTTTAAAAGCTTCTTTTATGAGAGGCCAGTTCAATTAAAAAATGTTTCTTGTAGTTATGGGATGCTGCACAGACTAGGGATCGAATCTGTGTCCTACCGTGTGTTCGTATTAACCTCTAGCCACCAAGCTACCGCGCCTGAGTCAGATTTATCTGTAGCAGTGGGTTTTAAATTTGTTCATTCCATTTCCAATCAATAGAATTTAAACCTATTAAGAATGCCTTACGTATGTATGTACACATTAAATTAACAGCTTCTCATTAATTTTACTAAATTTCTTACCCCACTATGCAAAGTATTGCTGCCATTAAATGTGTCCTGGCGCTTGGTTCATAGTCGATGCGTGTTAGTTTCGTGACATGACATGCTGGACATGAAACAATGGTTGGCTCTGGTCCCAAGGGCAAAATGGCATGTTCTGAAAAATTAAGAGACAGAAAAAATAATTTGAAACATGTTCACATAGCTAGCTACTTAAAAAGTGCTTATGTTGATATGTGCATATAAAGATGCACATACCTATTAAGGTGGTCCAAGAATGCAATTGAAAAAGTAAAGTCGGAATTTTTATGCTTTCATCCCCTAGGATTGTTCTGCACCGAAAAAATATAACCTTTTTTTACTTTGAAATCAAAGCGCCCAAAGTTTACCATTTTTTCATCTCAACTATAATTTATAGGTCCGCCAAAAACTCACAAAAATCCCGAAAAATGCAATAGGGGGACCAATAAAAATCGTTAGTATTAAAAAATGGTTAAATAAACAATTGGTTATTATTATTGAAAGTCCCCTGAAGAGAACCAAGGTTTTGCGATCGAATAATATTGATTCTTAAGAATTCTATACCATTTCTACGAAAAATTGTTTTTCCCCTTATACATGGAAAACTTTGAGTGCTTTGAGCGACCTCTAAATATTTTTTGATTTCAAAATAAAAAATTAGAGGAATACTTTTTTTGATATAGAACCATTCTAGGGGGTGAGAGCATTACAATTCCGATTTTACTGTTTTTGGACCACCCAAACGTATGTATGTATTGCCCATTTGCTGCAAAAGTGTCATAATCCAAAAAATCAAAACTCGAAAAAAGTCTTTAAAGTTAACAGTTTACATACGCATCGATGCAGCTGTGCAATTTTTTTATTTATTTTTTTATGTATTTTACCGCATAACTTTGGACCAAGTCAACCGATTTCGATAACTTTTTGCAACGGAAAGGTAGTGTGTCAGAGGTGGTCCCGTACTAATTTGGTTTAGATCTGATCCTTGAATCATGAAATATATAGATATATATATATTTTTTTAACTCGGTTCTTTTTTTTGCTAAAAATTACTTGTATTTAACTTCACTTATATGTATGTACGTATGTATGTATGTATGTATCTTTCTATGTCCTGGAACTTTGCAGTCAATATTTAACAAACTTCCCGATGAGCTACAGACTTGAAACTTCAAACTTAGCTCAGAACTCGAGGACAATGCAATATAAAAGATGACTTAATCCGCTAGGTAGCGCAGGAGTCGAGATATTTGTAAAACCCGCATTTATAGTCTGATTTGGTTCATATTTATTAAAACACTGCACGGATACATTTGAGTTGCCCAACAAGACATTTGTTAGCAGCGCAATTATCTACTCTCTTTATCTCTCCATTCTCTTGTTGAGTGCGGGCAAACACAAACCGCTTGGAGTATGCGTAAGTAAAAATCCGATCAATAGCAAGAAAAGAAGTACTGGCTTTGCAAACACAATTACCTCGACTGAAGAATATCCGCAAGCAGTGTACTGTGCTTGCGAGCAGTGTTGCCAGAACTTTTTGGGCCGACCGGCTAGATTGGCAAAAAAAAGCGGCTAAAAACGGCTAAAATGTTTTAGTGAAATTTCACATAGACTCTGGCAAAAAACGGCTAAAATGTTTTAGTGAAAATCCACATGCTTTATTTAAATAAATCGCAAGAAACGAAAGACTAGTTAACACCATTAATTTATATCGAGTGTATATTCCTCATCATCAAATGAATCACTATTGTATATATCACCTGAATTCAGTAAAATTATGGCAGCATTTTTCTTCACGTTTTAAACCGTATCTTATATATAAAATAGCGTTTAACGTTTTAACGCAAATTGGATTTCTTTGCTTAGTTTTTATTATATTCATTGAACTAAATATTCGCTCTACTTCTGCATTACTTATAGGCAAAACAAGAAAACTAAGAACTAGGTTGCAAAGGTCAGCAAAAGGGTTTTCTCCTAGGGAATTTCGAAATTGATAAACTTCGGCCCAAAATTTTACAGTTGAGTCTAAATTACTCCAGGTATGTAACGTTAACCGTTGCCATTGCATCTCTATGGATGTTATTTCGTCGGCATTATATTTGTGTTTTTGTTGCTGTAGTTGAACAAATACTTTTGGTTTAATTACTCTTAATGCGTTTCCAACCGAAAAAAGTCAATTTTTTTTAGTGTGGCAATATTTGTAGGGAGGCGTTGGCGTAATTCCTTTATTAAAGTGATAATAAAATAGCGACCATTTTCTCGAATTATTTTCTCGGCTTCGTGGTGAAAAGCGTTTGTGCTTACTTTTGTTTTTAAATACTCTTCAAAACTGTGATAAAACTGAGGAAATGGAGCAAGGTATGGTTCCAACGGGGAGCATATAGGATCAAAGTGTCCGCGCTAATAACCACTAGGGAGCATAGATGCGAAAGTAAAACATTGAGTTCATTAAAAATCTTCATTGGGTCTGCATTATTGCATTCGAACAACTTGTTTACTTTTTGCACCTGAAAATTAGGCAAATAGTAAAATCGGCTAAAAACGGCTAACTTCTTTTTACAAACCGGCTAACAAATCGGCTGCCGGCTAGATCGAATTTTCCCCGGCTAGTTGCTATCAAAACCGGCTAAATCTAGCCGGAAAACGGCTAAAATGGCAACGCTGCTTGCGAGTATTTGAGTATTTTCATAGAGCTGTTGATTGTTGGTGTTTGGGTTATGCTATTTATGTGCTTATGCACACATGTAGATACATTTGTATTTACATCAAAGATATTGTTGATGCTTGCCCTTACTACTACGTTATTTGATTAAAAATATACAATATATATGCACATACATATGTACATACATATGTATGTATTTATTTCAGCGAACGCCTTTGCTGCAATAAGGTAATGAATAAAGTTTTGAAAACTAGTCAATGTTAAAGAAATGTGTATAGTTTATTTGTTAAACGAAAATGGGTATAATATTCCAGATTAAATATTTAAGGAAAGAAAATATAAAATTAACAAAAGAATGATTTTCAAAAAAAATAATTATGTATGTATACGCCAACCATTTATTGAAAAGTTTTGCAATGCAAGATTTAAACGGTTTGCAATATTAAATATTCTACAAACTTTCATAAAAATTTCTAGCTGTTTCATTAGATTTGGTTGGATATGCAGCTTACCAGCCCATTCAATTTTAATAGAATAAAGTGCAAGTTTGAAGTAGCACGAACATACAGTTGATATTTTGGAATTTATTGACGGTGTCAGTCATTTCTTCCATACGAAGTATGTTAACACGATTCTTTTTATATGGAGAAAATGACCAACAGCTTCAACAAAAAAAAAATTACCAATATCAACGGTAAGTCTTGCTTTGCAAACTTGCACTTCATTGTACTAAAATTGAATGGGCTACAAAACTGCATACTTAAAACCATTCTAAGTAAACCAATAAAAGAGCTCGATATTTTTACGAAAAATTGTTAATTTTTTCTTAATATAGCTCAAAGTCTCAAGTTTGGATTTATATGATTTTTCTTAAAGAATAAACTATATTTTTATAAAAAGTAATTGAAATAAAATAATTTAAAAAAATTTCTAGGCAAAACTTGTCAATATGTGAGTTGTTTATAATCGTGAAACATACATATACAGAATGTAAATTCAAATTTTTTTAATATACATACTTTTAACCAATGCTTGAATGTAGGAACATTATCCTGTTTATTGTGCTGTCATTACAACTAATACTGCAACGTTTCTCAGTGATAATATTTCGGGCGACGGAAAATGCTCTTTCAAAAGGAGCTGAGGATGCCGGAGTTGCTAAAATTCGACAGCTCAGTTTATATAAAATTGGGAAATCATTTTTATGACCGTCCCACCAGTGCACAATATCGAAATCGTCATAAAATTCAACATCAGTGCTTTCGTACTTATGAATTTCTCTATAGATTTTATTTTCAATACTAAGCGTTTGTCTTGGTTGAACAAAATCTCTGAACAATAAACTATTTTCGGTAGAACATGACGGCGTGGAATCTGACTCAGTATGTAATGCATCTACAGTAAATTCTGCCATGAGCCGCTTACATTAATTTTTAGTACAAGTTTTGTCGATTTCGGAAAATAGTACATTTTCGCTGTTACTATTCATTGAGTATCTTATAACGCACTTGTGCTTCAATAAGTTTGAGGTTGATTTTTTGCAGTGCTTTAATACATTGAAACACGTTTTACTTTACTTTTCCCAGTACCCTTAGAAATTTTAAACTCGCCGCTAATAATTTTTTCTCTTATGACACTATTACTCAAACTACTACTAAAACTAACGTTTGTAGCAGGTGGATCGTTGGTAAATGACTGCAAACATTAATGCATTAAAATGATAGAAGCGAAATATGTATTTAATATTAATATTTACGTTGTCAAGCTCCATTATGCAAATTTATTAATTGTGCGCATGCGTTGCCAGTCAAGTCGCAAACGACCAAATACGACGAGGAATTTCGAATACACAAGCACCACAAGCACTTTCGATTACTGCAAGCAAGCGTGTAATATTTTCTGTACTCGTTGGCGTAGCGTCGTGTGCCTGTATTGCGCGATCGTGGCAAGTAGTGTACATAATTTGGCTCAACAGAAGAAGTATCACTAGCATTTGCACTTGCGATGAAGAGTAATGGCTTTGCGCGGAGAGATATAAGCATTCTACTTGGGAGTACAGCTCAAAGCAAAGAGTGCTTTCAAGCGTAGAAGAGACAAATGTAATTCTGCAACCCTTTAATATTTATAACATATATTACTTATATGAAAAGAAAAAAATCCGAAAAAAATTTGCCGATAGGTGGCGCAGGAGTCGAGATATTTGTAAAACCCCTATTTATAGTCTGATGTGGTTCATATTTAGAACATATATTATTTGTATGAAAAGAAATAAATCAACAAAAAAGTTTGCCGATAGGTGGCGCAGGAGTCGAGATATTTGGAAAACCGTGTTTATGATCCGATTAAGTTCGAGATATTTCTAAAACCCCTATTTATAGTCTGATGTGGTTCATGTTTAGAACATATATTACTTGTATGAAAAGAAATAAATCCACAAAAAATGTTGATGATAGGTGGCGCAGGAGTCGAGA